CCTTATCCAGAAAACCCAACTATAGCTAATCCTTTAAATTCAACTTGTTTCTTATTGTGAATTGTATAAACCTTGACAAATGTTTCTGTAAGAACTTCTTGATTCATTTACAAAAGCAAGATAACGAAAAAGATTTAGAAGGACGTTCTTTGTGTGCAAGTCTTAAAGAGACTAAATGTGACTCGAACCTTTACAAAGATGTACTGCTAACAGCCTCACAAGGAGGAAACATTGACAGGATGATGCAGGAAGCAACTTTACAGTGGACAGAAACATTAGGTCAATTGAAGGCAATATAGATGGGACATTTTAAAGAACCAGCCACAGTGAACATAAATAAAGCATTATTTTTAGAAAATGGAGCTTTATATGGTTCCCTTTTCTAAATGCTCAAAGCACAAGATACAATTTCTCAGTGATATTCACAATAGCATTCTAGTATAAGTTGGCATTGATTCTATGTTAACATGAATTACGTGCTAGTCTGAACTTGTAGTATTATGAAAAAAGTACAGAGCAGCAAGACTCTTCCTATTTTATTGATAGAAACATTCTTTCTATATGTAATACTGCTCTGTTCAGCACTAGGGAGATGTTACTAAGCAAGAGACAAATTGAAAAAATTGCTAAGGTGAAATCCCATTTCTTCTCTGAGAAGACTTCTCACTAGAAACTTAATAAAGGGTTGGGAATCCTTTGTCCTTTCCAAAATTTGGCAGACAATTCCCATACTCCCCATTGGTCCTGCTGACTGAGTCTTGTTGGACTTGAGACCCAAAGGTTTCATCTCAGTGTTCTAAATAACATGCCTTCTGCATCAGTTGCAGACAGTTCATACCTTTTGCTTAAATTTGTGTGGTTTTGTAATGTTTCTGCTTCACATTTTTTGGTAGATAAAACTCATTTCTGTCAGAAATATTAAAAATTAACTAGGTATTTTTAATTACAAAAATGTAAGTCAAGCACTGAAAGGGTTAAATGATGCAATGGCTCAGCAAAAGCTGCAATTCAATATAAACAAGTGTGAGTGTAGCTTAGTAGCCCTCAGTCTGTGAGAGGTCTCAGTGAGAGAAGGGCCTCAGTGTGTTTGTAGGCCTCAGTGTTAGTTCGTCTCAGTGTGAGGGAGGTCGTAGTGTGAGAGAACCTTTAGTGTGAAATAGGCCTCAGTGGGAGAAAGGCCTCAGTGTGAGGTATGCGTCAGTGTTAGTAGGTCTGGTGAGAAGCTTCGGTGAGAAGAAGCCCCGGGTTGAAGGCCTTTGTGTGTGAAGGCTGCTGTGTGTAAAAAGCTACTGTGTGAAGCTCCTGTATAACTTCGGTGTGAGAGGAGGCTCTCTGAAAGCAAAGCTGTTTACCTGTATGAGAAAGAAGCCCAGCATGGAAGCAAAGAAGGAAGTATAAAGAACTTTATTTGTGTTATTGAAACCTTGTTCCTGTAAACAGTGCAACCATATTATTTTACTACAAAGAAAAGCCCCCTGTGGAAGAGATAACATTGGTCAATGTGTTTTTGTTATTTTTATCACTTTTGCCTAATGTTGCTGGGTCATGCTGCTGCTAATAATTTACTCTGCTGTACATTTATAAGGAGAGTCTTTTGTTAATAAGCCCACTCGCCCAACAGTTTCTTGATTTTAGGGCAATTCAGTTGTTCTACACAGGTGCCTTTTAAGTATATGAAAACTGTTAATGCATTTCTGTTCATTTCCACCCCAAGGTTCTCCGGACTGAAAATACCAATTTCTTCAGCCTGGCTTCACATGAGAATTACTAAACCCATTGTAGATTAAAAATTAAGGTTGGTATTAGCGAGCGGTGAACCGGTTAAGAGGTTTGTAAGTACTGCAGCCCAGTTCAACTGATGTAATAAGAGGACTACATGTCTCCTTAGAAAGAAGGACTGTTGTGTTCATTCCCAAATAGGTATGGATATAATTGTATCCCTAAGATTAGTCAGAGATAATTAGATTGTCCATTTTGTATTCGATATACATGCATGTACACTATCTGTAATTTGCCCTTAGTCATATTGGATAATCGGCACAAGTGAAATTAAATATGTAAGCAGTGAAGAAAGAACGAATTATTTCACATCTCTTTTGGGTGTTATCATGCAAGAATAAAATATATAGCAACAAGTAACTTGAGAAGGGGCCCCCGGTGGCATAGTAGGTTAAACTGCTGAGCTGTTAAACTTGTTAACTAAAAAGTTGCAGGTTCGAATCTGGGGAGTGGCGTGAGCTTCTGCTGATAGCTCCAGCTTCTGCCAACCTAGCAGTTTGAAAACATACAACTGTGAGTAGATCAATAGGTACTGCTCCGGCGGGAAGGTAATGGCGCTCCATGCAGTCATGCTGGCCACATAACCTTGGAGGTATTTATGGACAACGCCGGCTCTTCGGCTTAGAAATGGAGATGAGCACCACCCCCCAGAGTCAGACATGACTGGACTTAATGTCAAGGGAAACTTTTACCTTTATCTTTTTAACCTGAGAAACATAATGATCAGAAATTGTGGACATAATTGTAAAACTACCTGGAAGACATTTGGCTTTTTTAAAACAGTCCTGCTTATATTGCCTGATGGCAGGGACTAATAGGATTTCCTCCCCAAGTGTGATAAGGGAAATGCCACCATATTTGTGTCTATTGACTACAACTGTTTCTTTACTGAAATTCCAGAGCAGGCCAGAAGCCAATAGCTAGTTGGCTGGCACCACCACTTTAAGTAGTGCTGACTTAATAGTGCCTTCAGAAAGGAATCGTGTAAGTTAACCCACTTAATGCTCATTTTACATTTGTTTTCAGTCCTTTTAGTTGAGATACCTTTGGTAGGTTTCATAGTTTTGAAAATCAGTGGAAGAATATTTAAAATTTACTCTTGATGCATGTTTGTATTTTTATTAGCAAATTTTCACCATCATATAGAAAGATTTGTGCTTATAAGTCCTTCTAGAGTTGAAGTAGAATTTCTTCTCTTTTTGTTCCATAGTTGGAAAGGGAATTACTGACAAGTCCAAAGAATGGACAGGTTGTGTTTTATGAACTCAAATACTTCTGTGAGTAGTTTGGTTTGTAACTTATGTTTAGACTGTCTGGAAGAAGGCATTCTACAAGGAGTTGAAAGGGTTGACTGTGTGTTAGTTTGCCAATGTATATAGCCGAGTATTGATGCCTGTTTTTGTAGAAAAATAAAACATAACTTCAGAAGGGGAAAGTTTTGCATGTTAGGAAAGTACACTTGACTTTCATCCTACCAACATTTCAAAAATCTTCCTCCACCTCATTCTTCCTTGAGGATATTCCAAACCTATAATTAGCCACCCTAACATGTGTTTATTCAAAACTGCTTCATTGTAATAAAACTATGCCACCCAGAACAATGCTTCTCTTAACTGCCTGATGTGGTGCACTAGCAGGTTATTTTTCTTGCTGAGTTGGGAACTGGTAATATATTTCTGCCCATTGGTTACAACAGTTTGTTTCTCTCCTGGAAACCAACTGCAGAGGTGCCATTAAATGCCTTGCTGATTGGTACTTATCCATGAACTTTGAGTATTCTATATACTCATGTGTAAGTCTAGATTTTTTAAGTAAAGTAATCAAAGTAGTCAGTATGAGTATAGTAATAGTAACCACACCATCCCATGAGTAGAGGTTTTTTTTCATGTCAGGAGTGACTTGAGAAACTGCAAGTCGCTTCTGGTGTGATGGAATTGGCCATCAGCCAGGATGTTGCCCAGGGGACACCTGTATGTTATGATGTTTTACAATCCTTGTGGGAGGCTTCTCTCATGTCCCCGCATGGGAAGCTGGAGCTGATAGAGGGAACTCATCCACGCTCTCCCTGGATTTGAACCTCCAATCTGTTGGTCTTCAGTCCTGTCAGCACAAGGGTTTAACCCATTGCGCCACTGGAGGCTCCTCCTGAGTGGCGTGGTGAAAGACACAAGCATAGTCCATCCCAGGAGAACAAAAAAGAAGCACCAATCTTCTTTACACATCAATGTTACATCATTTCTGGCCTTTCTGAATGGCCAGGAAGGCAAATAGTGGCTGTAGCCAGGGATGGCTGGACCTCTGATGCGGCATTGGTGCTTTCTTCTCTGTGGAATGGCCCTCAATTTAACCTTGAGTCATATTAAAATCCATAATTTTGGCCCCAAAAGTGAGTAGAGTCTCACTTATCCAACCTTTGCTCATCCAGCGTTCTGCATTATCCAATGTAGTCTGTCTCCTGCCTGGATCTAGAGCTGCTTCAATGCATTGCGATCTTTTGGTGCTAAATTCGAAAATACAGTAATTACTACACAATGTTACTGTGAATTGAACTGCTTTTTCTGTTGATTTGTTGTAAAACATGATTTTGGGGGCTTCATTTGTAATTTGACGTTTAGTAGGCTTTTCCTTAATCCCTCCTTATTATCCCACAGTTTTGCTTATCCAACGCTCTGCTGGCCCGTTGATGTTGGATAAGCGAGACTCTACTGTATATATGAATATATATGGTAGTACTGATTTAAAAATTTGCATCAGCGCACAGTTAGGCGTGCTGAAGTCTATTGATTCCAGTGGATTTAGGTATGTCTAATTAAATTAAGGCTAATAAGTCAACATGAGTTATCTTGCTAGCCAGTGGCCTGCAAGTATCTCAGGATTTTTTTTAATTAGTATAGAAAGAAATTACTGTAACTTCACTAAGAGGAACTACTTCCAATTTTTAGATATTCCCAATCCTACCCATCATCACAGCTCAACCCATTCAGTAGTGTCTTCTTCTACCATTGGAGGAGGAATATGAGGCAGCCTTGGGATAAACAGGCGGGGGAATTGCAGTTTCATGTATTGAAATCTGAATCCAAGCCGTAGTAATTGAGTTTATTGGCTAAGAATGGAACAATGATATCTTGCTTTAACACTTCAAACATGGATTCTAGTAATGGTTTACAAATGGTTAGTCAACATCAGTAAAGAAATTATGGACTAAAACCAGTATTGATACATTGGATGGCCATCTGTCGGGGGTGCTTTAAATGCAATTTTCCTGCTTCTTGGCAGGGGGTTGGACTGGATGGCCCATGGAGTCTCTTTCAACTCTATGATTTTATGATGCATCTCCACTGGAGAGTCAATGCAGTTTGACACCACTTTATCTGCCATGATGAAATGCTATGGAGTCATGACAATTGTAGTTTTACAAAGAGTGCTGGTGCCCCACTAAAACAGGTTTCCCATGATTCCATAGTGTCGAGCCATCATGGCAATTAAAGTTATGTCAACCTGCATGAATACTACAGTGTAGATACATCCATTGAAATCAGTGTGCCATAAACTAGTTGTGACTTACAAGCCCAATTCATTTTAGCTGTATCATTACCACCAAGGGTATACTATTTACTTTGGCATAAATATGGTTAGTATTGGTCTGTTAGTCTTGGTTGCAGAAAACTACAGCAGATGCATAGAAATAATTGTCCATATTAAACTTCTCTTTTGCACGAAGTGTTCCATGATATAAAAAGTATAGGGCTTGATCCGGTCTTCAGCATCTCAGTCTGGTATTTATCTTCCTTTCTCAAATCTGATGTATTCTTCAAGGGCTGTTACAAGGGATTACAAATGAAATCTTTGGTCCAAAAAAGATATCTCTGAAAGAAAGTGGCAGAATTAAAATTTGAAACTACTGTGTAGAAGATAGCATCTTACAATTGAAGAAATTGTAATTATCAACCACAGAGACTCACAATAATGTATGACTGGGACAAGCTCCTGCCTCCACAAACAGCTATAGCTCCCACTACTCAGGAGACACCAAAGGCATTCCCTTCAATGACATTGCAGGTTATAGTGAGCACCATAAACATGTCCAAGAGCCCCGTGAATGTCCTCCACAAACACCATACTGCCCACCACCCAAGTGAAGGCTTTCCTACGGGAACGATTTCATCCTAGATTTTATGCGTTTCCTCTACCACAAGCATCCCAGCGTTTTTTACTCTGCATTGGTGTGGAATTTGCATGACCCCGCCCATTGCCTCTCCCATAACCCTTTCCTATTCTTTTCTATGGCACACATTAAACAGAAGAATTGATCAGCAACTGAACACACTAGAGAGCTTTGGGGAGAATTCACCGTCAGTTATAGGAATTGTTGGTACTGAGATGTATAGTTCAACTGCAATCTAAGAGCACTCTGAACTCCACCAATGATGGACTTAGGACTAATTTGGCACACAGAGCCACCATGAGCAACAAAAAAATACTGGAGGTCTTTGGAGGGATTTATAGGAGTTGTAGTTCACCTACATCCAGAGCGCACTATGAACGCAAACAAAGATGGATCTGAACCAAACTTGGCATGCATACCCGATATGCCCAAATTTGAATACTGGTGGGTTTTGAGGGGAATTGGTCTGGACATGTTGGAGTTGTAGGTACTGGGATTTATAGTTCACCTACAATCAATGAGCACTCTGAATTCCACCAATGATAGAACTGGACCAAACTTGGAGCACAGAGCCCCATGACTAGCAAAAAATACTGGAGGCCTTTGGGGAAAATTCACCTTGATTTGGGGGAGTTGTTGTTCCCCTACATCCAGAGAGCACTGTGAACCCAAAAAACAATGGATCTGGACTAAACTTGGCACACATATCTGATATGCCAAAATTTGATTGCTGGAGGGGTTTGGGGGGAACTGAACTTCCTTTCTGGGAGTTGCAGTTCACCCACAATTAGAGAAACTGTGACCTCCACCAATGATGGACCAAACTTGGCACACAGAACCCCCATACAATACACTTTGAAGGGTAGCAGCTATCAGTCTGGAAACACCCTCTCTGCAAAGGCAATGAAGACAGAATACAAAAAGCTCCTTACTTTGGACAGCAGAGTAGTTCATTAAAGTTGCAGTAACAGACCATCTCGCAGCCTTTCCCTTCCCAAAAATGATCTTGAAGATGACCATCAATTGGCCGGAGGCTGGCCACTCCTGGTGGAATGTTGTGACAGTTGTGATCTTTTAATATTTTCCTGTAACAGGAAAGCCGGACTGAAGGTGTTGCGTTAGTCCCAAGTACCAGGCTCAGAAAAAGAAGAGGAGAGAGTATCTTCATCTTTGTAATCATTGCAAGATTTTGGCAACAGGACTGGTATGGAAAGAGAAATTAGTTAAGTGATTACATGAAATCCATCTAGATCTTCTTGAATCTATCTCTTTACTACTTATTTTGCTCAATGTTTCCTTAGTGTCATTTGCTCTATGAAAGAGGTGTATTATAAGTGTTAGAAATAGCAATTCCACAATTTTCGCAAAAGCCTTGGATCAAATTAGGTTATACTAGATTAAAATCAGAGTCTAGTAAGATTAGGTCAATGTGTTACATTGAGGAAACCACTGTGGCAGGTTATAACCAGGAAAAGATTCTGCAGCTGGAACGAAAACACAATTTAATGGGAAGATGTGGTTCTTGTTAAGCCATGAATCATTGCTTGAGCACTTTCCAAATACTGATTCTGCTACAAATTCTCACATATGTTAAAGTCAGAAATATAGGTAACAAAAACCTCAGCGGCTCCCCAGCAGAGCTCCAAAAGCATCCAATGGGAAATTAGACTGCATGAAATCTAGTACTTATGAACCTGCCACCTTTCCCCTAGCCCTGCCTTTCTCAGGATTCTGTCATTTTTGCCCCCGTTTCTTCCAATAATGTGAATCTGGATCAAAATTGGTTTACCTATCCTATTGTCTCAGGACAATGTAAGGTATTGTTCTGCCGGAAAAGGAGTAGAAAATGGCACTTTCCAAAATTGATTATTTTGGAACAAGAGGCTATAAAAACTAACCTGCACTCACTGATATGCCTATCCCTAGCAGGGATACGCCTGGAACAAGAAACTGCACCATCTCCAACTGACTTGGCTGTATTACCTGGAGATAATTGGGTTGAAGTCCACTTTATCTTGAGGTTAGAATAAATTTTCATTAGTTATTTTTAGAAGCAATCCACAAGAATAATACTAATATAATTCTCCTTTCTGCAAAAAATAACCCTTAAACAATTCAGTGAAAGAGCAGATTTGAATATCGTAAAAAAACATTTGAATCCAATGTAATGAACAGATTTTACCCCAACTACACTGCCATATAATGCAGTTTTATGATGCAGTTGAACTGCATTATATGGCAGTATAGACCATTTAAAGCAGTTCAATTGCATTGCAGATTATGTTAGTGTAGATGGGGCATTATATGGTTCTACATTGATAATATAATGCAGTATAAACTGCATTATTTGGCAGTATAGAACCAGCTTTAAACACTTAGCTTTGTGTTAGACTCAAATCAAGGAAAAGCTTTATGAGAACTACCACTCCTCTTGGTGTCCCCCCAGCAACAGCAAGGGTATCCCTCTGTGCAGCTAAACCAGGAAATCCCAACTGGATGACCCCCACAAGGGTCTTCCTTCAGGGGCAAACCAAGAATGGGCAACTTGGAAGTCCCTGAACAGACTCAGAAGTGGAGTGGGTAGATCAAAAGACAACCTGGCAAAATTGCACTACCACCTTGTGTAACTGTGGAGCAGAACAGACAACTCTGCATCTGTATGCTTTTTCATTATGCCCTGTCTCATGTACAGAGGAAGAATTGCTGTTGCTGTTGCCCATTTTTGGTCAAAAGATATTTAGCCACCTGTGCTCCTTCTATTTTTATCGGTTTTATATTGATTTATGCAATGCTTTTGATAATGAAATAAATAAATAACATTCTTGGATTTTCCTAAATAGTATATCAAAATTTATTTATTTTAACTCTGAGTAATTAACTAGTATTGTGACTTCCAAGTATTTAATATTGTGTCTAATCTTAGCCTTAAATTGATCCATTCTTTTCTCTTTGTCCTGTTCCACCAAATGTGTTGTCATTATCTCCATTTGCTTCCAATTAATTATTAGACCTGTCATTTTTTCAAACTGTTTAAAATGAAGATTTATCTCATCTAGTATTCTAACTGGATTCCTGACTGTCAAAAGTGTATCATCTGCAAATAAGCTGATTTTGATTTTGTTGTCCACACCCATTCCCTGTTTTTCCCTATCTTTGCTGATCACAGAGGCTAATAATTCCATAACTAATATAAATAGTACCGGGGAAAGGCGGAAACCTTTCTTTACTCCTTAATACTACAAGGTTCAGTCCTTGTGATTTTAGCTGTTTTCTGAGAATCTTTTTCATACTACACTATTATAGTCCTTTAATCCCACTTTAACCTCCACAGTTGCATGCTATAGAATCATGGAGTTGTAGTCTGATGAGGCACTAAAGCTCTATGACTAAGAAGCTAAATATCCTTCCCTGAACTACAAACCCCACAATTCTATAGGATGGATAAAGTATGATCAAAGTGCTATAATTGTGTAATGTGAAACAGACCTCAGTCTAGATCACTGAAGCTTACATTGGCTGTGTGTGTTTACAAGTGAATGTACAGTAGATATTGAAATCTTTTATAAAATGATTGGATCTTAGGCTGCATCTACCACTATAGTCTGACCCCAGACTGGAGCCAGACATACTACACCAATGCCATAGCACTTGATCTGGAATCATAGGAGTTGTGGCTTCACAACATCTTTAGCCTTCTTTGACAAAGAATGCCGGTGCATCACCAAACTACTGCTCCTATGATTCCATGCCATTGAGCCATGACAATTAAAGTGGTACTAAACCTCATTACCGCAATTCTACAGTGTAGGATAAATACACTCTTAATTCCTTTTCAAGACTATGGCATCCCAAAATACATACTTTAGGATAATGGCACATTGTTGTTGAAAGAGCACATTCTTTACTGTGATTTTTTTTTTGGAGTGAAGAGAGGGCTAAGGCAAAGCAAAGAGGAATGGTAACTGGTTAATATGTGAGAGAATTGGTCGTCTACAGAGACGTTGCCTAGGAGATGCCCAGATGTGCAACCATCCTGTGGGAGGCTTCTCTCATGTCCCTGCATGGGAAGTTAGAGCTGACAGACGGGAGCTCACCCCATCTCACAGATTCAAACTTCTGCAGTTCAGCCGGCACAAGGGTTTAACCCATTATGCCACCACAGCTCCTTTAAGCCTGTAGGACTAGATGTTGTTTCTATTTTGAAGTACAATTCGTATCCTCAATTTTCACTTTGATATGTCAGGCAAACCAATTGACATGCTTTTCTAACAATATCTCCAGTAACTTCCACCAAATTAGATTTCAGTTTTATAAACAATGTAGGAGTATTGAAAAGATTCTGAGGGGCTCTTGATATCCCTCCAGTCAACAAATGTCACATTTTCAGACTCCTTAAAAGTAATTGGGATATCTCGGACTACATGTTTTATTATGGTTTTTTTTCTCTAGTGCAGCGTAGAGGTCTCACCACAATCTGACCCTTCTGTGATCAAATCAGGTGGGAAGCAGAGTCCTATATGGGTATATATACTGAAGTATATCTCATTATATACATTTGGAGGTTTTTAATGCTGTTCTGATGAATATGTTCAGCAATAAATAAATTCACAGAAATCAAATATCTGAAAACGAAATGTATCAGCTCCCCTTTAGTTCTGCCAAGACAAGCCAGTACATTATGTGTAATGGCAAGGACAGAGGCTAATCCACTAAGGACGGGACTGTATGAATCGACTCTTTGTGAAGGCCGTGAATACTGTGATTCTTTACAGGAGCTAGGATTTAAAAGAAAAATTAAACCCCATCGAATGTCTTCAAAGAAAGGAGAATATATACATGCTCTCTCACACACATGTCCCTTAATTCCTTTTCGTCATGCCCATCCTTTGTTCTATAATTTTCAGTTGGAGCTTTGTAGGGTTGCAGCCGACACTTACTCTATTTCTTCTTTTTTTTAAGATGAAGGAATATATATTTTTTTCTTTTGCTCTTTTATCAAAGTTGTGGAGCAAATTGTTATTTTGCTTATCTTTCTCTTTCCGCTATGAAGCATAAGACACCACCAGCAACTCTGAGTGATTTCTGCTGGCCTCAGCTAGCACCTGGCTTCAGTTTTTGCTCTCATATCTAGTTGGGAGAGAACGAATTAATTAAAATAGCTTTCTGGGGCAGGGCAGCAAAGAGACTTACCTTCTTTTCCTGCTTCTGTTTCTCACTTCCTTGGCAGTTGTGTCTCTTCAAATGCTCAAGCGAGCAGATTTGGGATAAAGAGAGATGTGGGAAGGGAGGGCTAAGAGGCTGTCATGGAGAAATGCTCTTTTGTTTGCCTTGACTCTCAGAGGCAGACTGTCTCCTCTGTCTTGCCAGGGGCTAGGGAGAGGAACTGCAAGAAAATACCTTTTCATTTGACATACTGAAGTGACAAGAGTGAAATGAAGAATTCCTTTTCCAGCAGAAAGCAACCAGCCTCTCATTTCAAGCAAAATCAAGAGGAAAACCATGTTGCAATATAATAACTAAAGAATACATCTGTGTGTACATGGGTGGTGAGGAGAGGACATTAGGAGTCCACTTGAACAGATAGATTAGGGTTATGTGTTTCAATCTTAGAAAATTTACACTGGGAGAGGGAATTTGTAGGTCTCCAGATGTTTGGCTGTAGACCCAAACGTTGTTCATCATTAATCTTGGGATTCTAGAAGCTTTGGTCCAACAGCACCTCGATGGTGCAACAAAACAACAATGCTCCTCTGACATGATGTACTGTCAGTATAGCAATGAAAAAGGTTATTTCAAGGCCCAAGTTGAGTATCTCTTATCTGGAATTCTGAAATGTTCCAAAATTGTCCATGTCGGTAGCTCAGCATTGCTCAACCTCAGGGTCGGGACTCCTGGGGGTGTCATGAGGGGTCACCAGAGACCATCAGAAAACACAGTATATTCTGTTGGTCATGGGGGGGGGTGGTCTGTGTGGGAAGTTTGTCACAATTGTATCATTGGTGGGGTTCAGAATGCTCTTTGATTGTTGGTGAACTACAAATCCTTGTAAATACAACTCACAAATATCAAGGTCTATTTTCCCCAAACTCCACCAGTGTTCACATTTGAGCATATTGAGGATTCATGCTAAGTTTGGTCCAGATCCATCATTGTTTGAGTCCACAGTGCTCTCTGGATGTAGATGAACTACAACCCCAAAACTCAATGCCCACCAAACCTTTCCAGTATTTTCTGTTGGTCATGGGAGTTCTGTGTGCCAAGTTTGGTTCAATTCCATCGTTGGTGGAGTTTGGGCGTATTGGGTATTTGTGCCAAATTTTGGTCCTGCATATCAGATATTTGCATTTCGAATCATAACAGGAGGAAAATTACACTTATGAAGTAACAATGAAAATAATTTTATGGTTTGTGGGGGGTGGGGGTGGAGGTGGTTACCACCACATGAGGAACTGTATTAAGGGGTCGCAGCATTAGGAAGGTTGAGAACCACTGAGGTAGCTGAAATAGTGACACCTTTGCTTTCTAGTGGTTCAATGTATCAAACCTTGCTTCATGCACAGAATTATTAGAAATATTGTATATAAAATCACCTTCAGGCTATATACGGTGTATATGAAACAAATGAATTTTGTATTGACTTGGGTCCCATCTCCAAGACATCTCATGTGCAGACAGTCCACGAGTTACAAACATCCAACTTTCAAATGAATCATACTTAAGAACAAGGGTGAGACAACAGGAAGTGAGAGAAATCTATCCTCGGAAGGGAAATTCACTCCTGAAAGAGCGATCATGGGGAAAAGGTGTCTCAACTGAAGTTTTATCACCAATCCTTGTTTCCACAACAAACTATTTTTTTTCAAAATCAATTTATCACAGCAACAGAAAGTGAAGTGAAACACAGACAGAAAAGCAAACACTATAGAGGGGTTAACCCCATCCCTGTGTTATCCAAAGCGCATCTCTATGAAAGTTTTTTTAAAAAATTTGTTTGTGGGATTAACATAACTCAAAAACCACTGGACGAATTGACACCAAATTTGGACACAATACACCTATAAGGCCAATGAGTGACCATCACTCATAAAAACACTGAAAAACACAACAGAAGAGACTTAAAAAGCCAAAAAAACAAAAAATACATTACAACACATGCGCAAAACCATACACACACACACACACACATATATACACACACAAATATACACACACATATATATACACACACAAAACACATATACACAGACTGGCCCACAGCAATGTGTGGCAGGGGGCGGCTTGCGTGTGTGTGTGTGTGTATTTCTGGAGTTCCACTAAAAAATGTACCTGATCCGAGTTATATACAAATTCAACTTAAGAACAAACCTCCAGAACCTATTTTGTTTGTAACTTGGGGACTGCCTGTATATGCAAATATTCCAAAATATGGAATATTTCTAGTCCCAAGTATTCTTGATAAGGCATACTTGACCTGTGGCATATTCTTTGAGAACTTTGTCAGATCTGGCATTAACCTGGCAGCTATAGAAATAGTCTGAAAACTGGAACATTTTTGGTCTACAGCTACCACTCATCATTACAAGTTTGGAGATTTTGAGAATATCCAGCGTCTCTTAGAAATTAGGCTGAGAATGTGCTTGTGAGCTCATATAAGGATGCTGTTACATGTTATGCTGTTATAACAGCCAACAGTGTAATAAAGCTGGAGCACATTGCAGGGAAAGGCCAGGGCTTATTTGATTAAGATTAACAATGCTGCCCACCACCTCCTCAAATTTCCTAATAGTCACTGGGGATTTGGGGGAGAATCCTTTTCACAATGTCAGTACACTGTTCTAAGGTGGCATAAGGTAAATATATAATGTCAGTTGAGAGGTTGGATTTGGATGAACAAACAAGACCCATTGGTTTGCCCAGTGAGGTACTCCTGGTGAAGATGAAAAAAATGGGATTCTTTTGTTGATGTGCATTGAGACAGCTATCTTGTTATTGTTGTTTCAATTGTGAGTGTATGTATATGTACTGTATATCTGTTAGAGCACTCTAACTGGAGGTCAGCTGTGACGAGCAGTGCTGTGGAATTTGAAGAGGCATGAATGGAGGACAAAAGAGAGAAAAGTGCCAAGAGGAAGGCACATCAAGCCAAGCCTGACTGGGACCAGCTTCTACCTGGAAACCGATGTCCTCACTGCGGGAGAAGATACAGATCAAGAATAGAGCTTCACAGCCACCTACGGACCCATCGCCAAGACACCGCATTCAGAAGACAATCATCTTCGAGCTATGAGGGGTCACTTAAGTAAGTAAGTAAGTAAGTAAATATATCTATAAATCCTTCAAGGTCACCTACTGACTTATGATTATCCCATGAATGTCCTAGGATTTTCTTAGGCACTGAATACTAAGATGTGATTTTGTCTGTACCTTCCTCTGAAATATAACCCATAGCATCTGGCATTCATTGGCCATTTCCCATTCAATTACTACTACTACTACTACTACTACTAATAATAATAATAATAATAATAATAATATACTAAATAAATAATAATTATTATTATTTATTTATAATATTTATAATAATACTAAATAATAATAATAAAATAATACTAACCAAGGCTGACTGTGCTTGGCTTCCAAGATCAAACATGCTCTGATGTATTTAGTTCAACTTCAAATTTTTCCATCATACCCACAGTGTGCAGCTTTTTTTTCTGTCCATGGCTATAACACACAACCAATATGGAGATGATAAACATCGAGAAAACCTAGAGAACAACAACTTTAATAAAAACATCTACAAGATATGCAATAATGATAAACTTCAGGAAGAACTGCCTGGGACTAACATTTCCAATGAAAAGAAATTATAATGAGAATATTAACACTTCCATCCTGGCACTGTCATAATAAAGAAATTTAATTAACTTTTGAGGATTTGGGTGTTTTTTTTTCCTGAAGCAAAAGGTTGTTTTTCCATAAATAAACTTCTGCACACAATAAAATAATTATGAAATGCAGACTAAAGCAAAGACTTATAGATTTCAGTACACTGGACTTCCACCTGTTTCAAATTTAGTGGTGTTAAAGTATTGTCACAGAGTCTATGGAGGGCTATTTTGCAATTCTAGAATTTTATTAGTCTTTTTATGTCACCATGACTCTTATAGAAAAAAGTGTGAAAACTATAATATGATCATAGGGTCATAGGAGGTATGGAACTCACACAACTGGTATTTTTGTTTTTGTGTAAGCAGCGGTGGAGCAGTGGGTTAAACTGCTGAGCTGCTAAACTTGTGGACCAAAAGGTTGATGGTTCGAATCTGGGGAGCAGGGTAAACTCCTGCAGTTAGGCCCAGCTTCTGCCAACCTAGCAGTTCAAAAATGCAAGTAGATCAATAGGTACCACTCTAGCAGGAAGGTAACGGCGCTCCATGCAGTCATGCTGGTGACATGACATCGGAGGTGTCTACGGACAATGCCAGTTCTTCAGCTTAGAAATGGAGATGAGCACCAACCCCGAGAATCAGACGTGACTAGACTTAATGTCAAGGGAAACCTTTACCTTATCTTCCAACAGCACACAGCACCACCAACAGCATGGAAGCTTGTGCTTCTTTAGTACACTTGCAGCTACTCCACCCTGGCTGTAGATTACTCAGTGCTAGCCAGGTAGTTTGACTCTTCGTGCTTGTTGGCTCTGATCCTTACACTTACTTGTTGTCACTTAAGAAATGGTATAATGTAAAAACTCTGACACTTCATGTATGCCCAATTTTAAACAACCCTGCATGTTCATCTTTGCTTATTGTTTAATGGTGCTAGATTTCCTGTACATCTCAACAGACCCTGCAGATGTATCACAAAGTATTATTTCTTACACTTGGTGCCAAAACATGATTTATGGAATTTACAATACCAAGATCCTTGTCAACTCACAGATGAGACTGGAGAACAGTTTCAGAATTGCACATTTGTTAGATGTCCTGAGCATGAGACTGAAAAGGAAAGACATAGATGTGCCTGAAGAATTATACCCAGCATTGTTGGCAATATTGTAAAACATCATGTGCTAAACTCCTTTGGAGTTGCAAAATCCCTAAGGCGAGTCCTGATCTGTACTCTTCTTTGGCTATGTGTTAGTCTCATTGTGGCGCAGTTAGAAAACTGTTAATGTAAGGTTGTCTGGCTCCACCTCGTGGTATGAAAGAATATAGATTTGGGAGGGTGTGTGTGTGCTGTTTTTCCACACAAGCCCCATGACTAATTATATTGCTGTGTAAAATTAAGCGCAGCTAGAACAGACAAAATATTTGTGCCAACAGAAACAGAAGAATGCCATTTGCTACTGGGATTTATTAACA